AATAGAGAAGTGAAAACAGCACTAGCAGAACACAGAAGCGGACAATGGGATAACCACGTTCAAGAAATGGAGGAAAAAAGTCCAAACATGCAAAACATATGGAAACTACAAAAAATACTAACAAATGATAGAAAACCCATACCTCCACTACACGGTGAAAATTGGAATTGTCTACACCATAGATGAAAAAGCCGGGGTGATGAGGAGGAGTCTTGAGAGAGAATGTACATTAAATTATCACCAAGACGAAGATGTAGACTTCATCGAAGAAGTCGAGGAACAACAAGAAATCCTCGAAGAACCAGAGAAGAAAATCACATCTACATATCCCCAATAAATAAACGAACTAATTAAAAATAGCTCACCGAGAAAAGCACCTAGTCTAGATCTTAGATATAGTCTCTTCCCAAATCGATGGAAGGAAGCCCACGTTATCGTGATTCCGAAGCCAAGAAAGAACACCATGTTTCCACAAAACTGCAGGCCGATATGCTTACTTCCAGCAGTCAACAAGATCGTAGAAAGAGTAATACTAAGAAGACTAAAAGCTGAAATATGGGAAATAGGACAAATCCCAGAAGCTCAGTGCAAAACACTCTAGCGAATTACAAGTACAAGACTGGCAGAATACATAACAGCTGGATTTAACGAAAAACAGTACTCCAGTACAACAGTTCCGAGCATGGAACTCCGGATGCTGGAGTGCCACAAGAAGCAGTCTTGTCACCGCTACTGTACACAATATAGATCGCAGATATTCCAAGAACACCAGGAATACTACTGAGCCTTTATGCAGACGACACAGCGATTGCGGCCAAACACAGAAACTTAGAAGTAGCGATCAACAATCTACAGACAGCATTATTCCTTCTGTTCATTATTTCCTTTCTGCAATATGTGCCGTATTCTTTCTGTTTTATTTATTTGTGTCATCATTTTATGATCGAAAGCTCCATGTATCCATGTATCACGGAAGATAATCTGATTAATAAACTTTGTCGATTTCATAAATAATTTTTTTTTACTTTTATTTTTAATTTATATAATACAAACATTTTTATACAAAGTTTTAAGTTTTAAAAATGTTATTTCGAAAATAGAAAGTTTAATAGGTCAATCAATTGAGAACTCCTTGTAAAGTTTGTGTTTAGCTTCACAAAGATCATATAAAAAAAACCACGTCTCGATTATAGCGTTAATACTATAGACTGCAATAAATTACAAATTTATAGTATCTATAAATGGATCACGTAAATTCTCTTTTGGCACAATGTCTAGGTCATAATCCGAGGAAGAGAGTCCCAGTGGCCTATAAACCCGACGGAATCTTGAATTAGGGCAAGCCAATGCGACTTTTGGCACTAGTTAAATAGAGAAAGGTTAATGGAGAAAACAGAACAGGCTTTGTGCTATTATATGGATATTGCACTTCTACAAGTATATGCATTTCGGATGCAGATGCAATTTATAAGAAAACTACTTCACATAAATACATCGTAAATGTCTGACAGGCACGGTTAGGATTCCTGCTTTTTTCAATAAAAAAACATACAATTTTTGTAAATACATTACGATTAAATTATGTAGTAAACTTGTTTTCTACAAATCAATATATAGTTCAGGAAAATATGTTTTTTATGATATAGCAAAGGCCAGGTATTTGGCCAATATGTATACAGGGTGGTCCTTAAGTAATTCTATAAAAAGAAACGGCAAAAGAAGAGGCTTACTTCAAGGCCTACTGTAATTACAATTTTTTTCATGGTATTATACGTTTCTATCCAATTGTCGAGTAAATTTTTTTCCAATTTCTATGATGTTCTACAATATATACCGATAACATAAAAAGCGCGATAAAAACTCTTTCGTAGCCGTGATTTTACTCTGAATCGTATTAGAATTTGAAATCAGGTTGTGTTACGTAACTATTCGCCATAAACAAAAATGTATTGTCTCACAACACATTTTCCCCACAATATTACCATTTATAGCACTTTCGTGTATTAAACCTTTCCCAACTGGTCGCTCAGAATAAAAATTGGCGCGTATGAATTTTCCCTATATCTGTGCATTACAACGATTATTGTCAATATCTAAACGTTATCGCGAGCCATAAAATAGCAACAGGGAATGAAAATTTTGTGTAAATCTCATTGTTATATCGTACATACATACAGTGTTGTTAACTTTGGCGTCAACTGTAAAAGGTGATTAGCGTAAATGTTTGTTTGTTTCATGCTGTTGTTCATTACAATGTGTTCGCCAGATCTACGACAGACAAGTCTAGCAGTTCTTTGTTGCTGGTTGTTTTAGCGATATACAGAGAGTACGTGTAGTATTCTGCTACGAATGCAAACCAGCTTTACAATGAGTAAAGTTCATACTAACATATATAGCGGAAATGTTTACAATATAAAAGGCATTCCTTCTTAAACTGCTTGGATTCTGAAAATTTTTTTGTCAGCTGAAACCTGAAAAGTTCTGTTGTCAAATATGTATCAAATATGTTGATTGTTGGTAACTCTTTCCATTTTGTAGATTAGAACTTTTTCCAAACTGTGTCGTAGACTTTTTCTGTTTAGTATGGCCATTACTGTTCTTTTCTTTCCGTTGAAGTCGAATTTTGCGTCACTGACCATGTTCTCAATTTTAGTTTACAATTTCTTCCTTTTCTGGAACCGGATTGATCTTCCTGGATGACTGTGTTTCTTTCTGCATGTTTGTAGAGTCTCTTGTATTTAATCATTTTCAATATTTTTCAAATAATTCCAGTAGTGACTTTGGTTTCCATTCATGGTGCTCTATTTCCATTTGTTTTTTTTTTGCCACTTCTGCTGGACTTTTTTCTCTTCTATGAATTCTTTTCTGTTCCTTATACTTTCGTAATTGTTGTTTGCCATTTTTGTAGTTTCTCCGTCTGACATGTCTTGATTTTGTCCGTGTGCTTTAGCCAGTTTTCTTGCTATTGAGTCTAATTTTGCTTGAGTTTCGAAACGCGTTTCTTCATTATTGATGTTATGTGGCATTTGTTTTTTCACTCTTTTCTTGGTTTTTAGTCATTTCCATTCGTTGCGCTGTTTTCTTCCGCTCTTTCCTTAAGTGATCTAATCTTATTTATATATTCTAATAGTTTATCTTGATTTTTGGTATGTTCTTTTTTTTTGTAATTTCTTTTAGTTCTTCTGGAATTATCTCTGTTGTTCGTATTTTCGTTTGGTATATTATTTTCCATTGCATTTTTTTTTTTAATGCAATGGAAATTAAAATTTAAAATGCATTAAAATTTTTCTTGTAATCTCTTCTATTTTTCTGTCTAGTTCTTCTTTAGATTCTAATTCTCTTTTATATCAATTTCGTTAAGCTGTCTTCTGTAGTTAGGCTAGACTGTGTCTTTTCATTTTTATATTTCGACTAATTCTACTTTGGGTAGGTCTATTATCTACGTGTAATGAAGATCTGCAAAAAGGCCTAAAAATTAACTTCAACAAAACAAAAGTAATGACAAACACGGAAGACCAAGAAGCAATAAAAATACAAACAGAAAAAATAGAACCGGTAAATGAGTATATCTATCTAGGACAAGTAATCAGAGCTAACAGAGAAAATCAAACAGCCGAAATATCGAGACGAGTAAGAATGGGATGGGCAGCGTTCGGCAAACTTTTCTAAAAAATCAAACAATTCCTCTATACTTACGAAGCAAGGTATATAACTCCTGTATAATACCGGTGCTCACCTACGGAGCACAGACATGGACATTTACACAGGCCAATTTGGATAGGATAAGGAAGGCACAAAGAGCGAGGGAGAGACAAATGTTGGGTATATCACTTAAAGATAGAAAACGTAACCAGTGGATCAGAACCAGAACAAAGACAGTATACGCGATAGAACAAGCAGCAAAACTGAAATGGAAATGGGCTGGACACAATGAACGTCTCCAAGACGGACGATGGAACAATGCCATCGGAAAGTGGCGTCCATACAATGCAAATAGATCAAGAGGCAGACCACAGATGAGGTGGAAAGATGACAGATGATAAGGCGGTCCCACATGGCAGAGAACAGCTCAAAATAGGGAAAGATGGAGAGAACTGGGGGAGACCTATATCCAACAATGGAAGGATAGAGAATAGGTTCAAAAAAAAAATGAAGATCTCACATTCGTAGTTGGATATCCTTGGTAGTTGCATGTTCTTCATGTATAGTATACATATTATATCCAGATTGTGTATAATGACTGTTTCCCTTAGCTCATTAATCCTTAGTCTTAGTGAGGCTATGTTGATCTATATAGTCTTCAGTTCGTTTAGTTGGAATTGTAAAGCGCTTCATATTTTACGAAGACCGTGGCTTTCTTCGAAAATAACCTAGCTTGAAGAAGTTCGTCCTTCATCCTTTCCAGGATTTGATGCATCTTCTCTTCGTTAGCTATTTTGTTGATTTCAGGTATCTGTAATTCTTGTTGTTGCTGATGAAGAGCTTGGTATAGCTCTAGCTTCTTGTGTTTTTGTGTCTTTGTAGTTTGTGCTTATGATATTCCAGGGTTAGCTGTCCCATATACCTATAATGGTGTAGCAATACCGATTTTTGAACTGGTTTATTCTTATTATTCTTGGCGACTGGATTGTGTGAATATTAGACGTGTTTCTTACACATTGAATAGTTTGCTACATCCTCTTCTCCGCAGTTGCAACATTTTATTTGGCTTTTGTGTTGCTTTGGGAAGAGGAAACTTTTTTGTAACATTGGGCACATTTCATGCACCTTGGTGTTCTGTAGCAGTTTCTTGTGTTATGTGCAAAAGCTTAGCAATTGTAACATTGTGTGGCTCTCTGAGTCTTGCTGTAAGAGTCTTCTAAGTCTTGCTTCTTAGGTACTTGGACCAGGTAATAATGATCTTTCTTACCCAGTTTTTTAGGTCTCATTTCTGAGACCTTGACGTTGATTCATTGTTCTCTGAGTTGTTCTTATAGTTTTGTAATATCCATTTCATATATATATACAAAAGATTTTTATCCGTTAATGATATTTTAAGTGATAATCATTTTTTACAGACTTAACGACGTGAAAAACTTAGTTAGCCAATTGTATGAAGCAATGCACGTCCAGGAACACCAATTGTCTAAAGAAAAAGAACTGACAACTCAGCTGGAGACAATCAAGCAGGAATTACTGCCTTTAGAACAGGTAAAGAAGTTTTGTTTTATGCAGGTTGATAATAAAACAGAAAATTTAAAAGCTCTTTTACTGAAACCAATACATTATAATAATTTAAGATTTTTTTCCTCAAGAACTGGTCTACACTTGTGTCAAAAAGAAAACAAAAACACACAACTGTGCAGGTAATTATGTTGATATTCGAAGATACGAAGATTTAGATATTTAAAACGGACATTAGGCTTCATTTAGGGATGTTTACCAGTTATACCTTTGTTTTGAGAGAATTTATTCTCTCTCCGATTGCCGACACAAGAATGTAGAGCGTCAGAATAATTTGAATAATTTTAAACTGTTTGTCCTTGTGTTAATGTAGTGTTATGTACAATTTATGTCCAATCTCATGACGTCCAAAATTTGACGAAATGCCCCTGATGATGCTGTAGATAGCAAAAGTACTTGGGCAAGATTTGATTAAACTTGTGCTCGATATTGTCTTAATTTTTCAAAGTTCATTTATTAGAGCATTCAACCTCATATCAATTATACATTTCAGTTGGAATTTCATCAGGACCAGTCGCCCTGCTCTTTTGATGATTGTATGGCCTTTATAACCTCAAAGCGTGTTATTATTGGTCCGTCGCAGTTAGTAATATCGGGAGGTGAACTACTCCTATCGTCTTCGAATAGGTTTGTGACGTAATTTTCCCATTCTTTAAGTTTGTCCTCTACTTCAAATGTTACTTTACCATTTTCATTCTGTAGCAATGCAGTTTGTTTCTTATTGAAGATACCAGCCGCTTCTTTTACTTTTTTATACATGTTAAACGTGTCGTATCTTTTCAAGTTCTTCAATGTTCTGACACTGTTTGCCTAGATGTTGACTCTTTGCTTCTCGTATTTTATGTCGAATTTCTTTGTTTTATGCTATTGTAAAGTGTTTTGTTGTTTTTCGCTAGTCGCCGTTGTTCCATCAAATCCAGTATGTCATCTGTCATCCAAGCTTGCTTTTTAGCTTTGACCTGCCTTGTAAATTTCTCGCACAGATTTCTTTTACTGTTGTTACGATTTTATTTAAGCCCTAATCGACGTTTTCACCAATATTTTCCCAAATTAAATTTTCAATATTTTTGCGAGACTTCTTTTTGTTCATCTTTTTTAATTTTAATTGGGTTACAGCTACTATGAGATTGTGATCGGACCCAATGTCAGCACCTCGATAAGTTTTAACTGATTTGATGCAGTTTCTAAATCGATTTTATATTAGAATGAAGTCGATTTGGTTCCTAATAATTTTGTCCTCTGATTCTGCATTTGACTTCCAGGTGTAGAGTCTTCTCGGTGGTAGTTTAAAGTGGGTATTCGATATAATGAAATCGTGTCCTTACAGAACTGGACAAGTCGATCTCCACGTTGGTTTCTGTTTCCCAGGTCATAATCCCCCACAATGTTCAAACAGCGTCCTTTTCCGACTTTAGCGTTAAAATCTCCGAAGACTAAGGTATTTTCTGCTGCTTTGACAAGATCTAGAGCATCAGTAAGATCTTTATAGAATGCTTCTAATTTATCTTCATCACTGGATGATGTTGGGGCATAGACCTGAATTACGTTGGTAATGAACGGCTTTGAACTAAATTTTATTAGCATTATTCTGTCAGATATGGGAATATAAGTTAATACTGATTGAGCTAAATGTTTTGCTACCACGATTGCAACTCCATTATAGTGATTGGCATCGGTATTTCCGGCATGGTACACTTGATATCCATCTACGTCACATACTCCTGATCCTGATATCTATATTTGTACACTCTAATTATATCGACTTAATTATTTATGTGTTTTTAGGTAAAGAGCGAAATTGAACTTGTGGCCCAACGAAGAGGAAACTGGCTAGCATGGGCCGGCTTGGGCTTGATGTCGGTGCAGTTCGGTATCTTGGCGAGGCTGACTTGGTGGGAGTACTCGTGGGATATTATGGAACCCGTTACCTATTTTGTTACTTACGGAACTGCGATGGCATGTTACGCCTATTTTGTACTTACTAAAGAGGTAAGAATGCATAAAATAACATATATCTATGTAGTTATATGAACTAAAGTATCTCATATAAACAAAAAATTCATCTTTAATATAAAATTTAATTTGTTACAGTAATGAGATGAATAATATCGGAGTCAGAAATTTCCACTTTTCAGGATTTGCTCTACTTCTTTATAAATTTAGCTGCTTCTAAATCTAAACTTAATCTAAATTTAGTAAATTCCATACATGCTTAACGTCAAATGATATCAATTCTATTTACACAATACTTTATATCTAATTCCCTCTCTCTCTCCAAAGGCGCTACAGGCTCAGGTCCCCCCCCCCTTCATCCGTTACTATCCTTGGTTACTCTCTTGGAAGTTATATTCACCCTCAATACCACTTTAGTATAGGTTCTCTGGTTCCTATGGAAACCACAGAGGATACCGGACCACCAATATTACGGCAAGTCATCTATGCCATCAAAAACACAAACGATGGCAAAGGTAAGGGACCAGTGATGTGCCCATCGATTTATTAAAACCCATTAATGAAGATCTTATTGATGTAATGGTTGAACTATTTAATATAATATATCAAAGTGTCACAATCCCCAGATAATGGCTACAATCGACTTTTGTGGTAATACCCAAAAAGTCAAGTGCGATATCCTGCTCAGATCACAGAACAAGAGCTTTAATGAGTCACACACTTAAAAACGTTTTTGAAAATAAAACACAGAATAGGAAATGAAGCTGAAGTAATATTCACTATCATAAGAAGAAAACTTGAGTACTTAGACCATGTAATGAGAGGGCAATCTCATTATTGCAGCTTAATATGCAAGGCAAAATTCGAGGAAAGCGAAATGTGGGAAGACCAAGAATATCGTGGCGTAAGAACTTAGGGAATGGTTTTAATGTATTAGTGTAGAAATATTTAGAGCGGCAGTCGACAGGGTCACATAGCATGATGATTTCCAACTTTCTATAGAAGATGGAACTTAAAGAAGAAGAATAGGTTCCCACCTCGTCGATCCACCTCTTCCTTGGTCGTCCTACTGGCAGACTTTCTGAATTTCATCAGATCTTTAGTCAGAGTTTGAAGACCTGTTCTAGGAAGCTCATCGTCAGTTGAGAGGCCAGTTTTATGTGAGACATCTCAACGATAAATTTTGGTTCACTTATATTTATATCATACTCAAGTAATCTTCAATTTCCTATTAAATACAGGGTGAGTCATGAGGAACTTTACATACTTCTACCATATGTAGAGTCCCTCAGGGAGCATACCATGTGGCCACTAAAAAATGTCAACTCCTCTTCTTTATAAATTGTGATTTGTGTAATTGACCATTTATTTCATTTTACTGTAGTGTTTATACGGCTCATTTGATTTTTTTAATTTTTGCATGATACAGTACACTACTATCAAGCATTCGACTGGTATTAGCTAAACTAAAAAATTCCAGGACTGGCTTTGGAAAAATTAATTTAGGGATTCGTATTAAATATTACACCCTGTATATATATATTTTTTTTAAATGAAATAAGTGATTTTCAAACTACATAAATAGCCAATGAAAACGACATATGCGACAATGTTGTCGCACTTTTATTAAATTTTTAGTAAACGATCAAATCTTACCAAAAATAGAACAACCATAATGCAGTATCAAATTATAAGGTAATTAATTTAAACAAATGTTATAAATTTCAAACATTTTAATTGAAATGATAAACTGAGTCACTGCACAACAAAAAACAGTAACTACTAACAATAACGAAGAACAATTAAAAAAAAACTAAAAATATGTACATAGTTATGATAAACCAATAAATTAGCACTGGAAAAGATACAATAATGGTAACAAAATAAAATAATTCAAAAGATATTTTCGAAATGGAACCCTGCAGCCTGTACACATTTTTGTTGCCGAATTGTTAATTGACGTATTGAATAACGGATACTCTGGGGATCGTTTCTAATAGTATTACAACAATGTATAATTCTATCAATTAATTGTTGTCGGTTATTATATTCACTGCGTAAACTAGTTGCTTCAATCGTCCCCAAATATGGTAATCAACGGGATTGAAATCAGGGGATCTTGAAGGCCACGAAATAAAACGTCTCACTGCCAGTAAAAAGTGTGGGGGTGCCCCATCATGCTGAAAATACATCCCTCGGATAGCAACGTTCGCGTTGGCAAGCAAATTCGGCAAAATATTTTGTAGAAAGTTCAAATAGACCTGCCCTGTTAAAGGACCATCAAAAAGTGAGGACCTACTAATTGGTTATTTATGACACCAATCCACACGTTAACCGAAAACCTTAACTGAGAACGACGTTCTCGAATAGCATGGGGATTTTCTTCTCCCCAAACATGTGAATTTCGTGAATTATTTGTCCCGTCTCTGGTAAATTGGGCTTCATCTGTAAATAGTGTCCTGTATAGTGTTGGTCGATTATTGTTAATCCATCTACAAAATTCCATCCTATCGATCTCATCTCCAGCATGTAGTCGCTGAACCATTTGAATGTGATATGGGTATAGATTATTTTTTTGTTAGACTCTACTTACTTTTGATTGAGTAACATTGAGTTCTCGACTTTTTTTTAAATTGTTCTTCGTTATTGTTAGTAGTTACTGTTTTTTGTTGTGCAGTGACTCAGTTTATCATTTCAATTAAAATGTTTGAAATTTATAACATTTGTTTAAATTAATTACCTTATAATTTGATACTTCATTATGGTTGTTCTATTTTTAGTAAGATTTGATCGTTCACTAAAAATTTAATAAAAGTGCGAGAACATTGTCGCATATGTCGTTTTCATTGGCTATTTATGTAGTTTGAAAATCACTTATTGCATTTTAAAAAATATATATACAGGGTGTAATATTTAATACGAATCCCTAAATTAATTTTTCCAAAGCCAGTCCTGGAATTTTTTAGTTTAGCTAATACCAGTCGAATGCTTGATAGTAGTGTACTGTATCATGCAAAAATTTTAAAAAATTAAATGAGCCGAATAAACACTACAGTAAAATGAAATAAATGGTCAATTCAAATCACCCTGTTAATTAATAAAGAAGAGGAGTTGACATTTTTTAGTGGCCACATAGCATGCTCCCTGAGGGACTCTACATATGGTAGAAGTATGTAAAGTTCATCATGACTCACCCTGTATAACAAAGCCTTCCACGCAAATAACACTTAAAATATTTTCTCTCCCCTCTGTAAATGTTCAGTGACTGAAATATGACCTGGATTTTCAATTAACCCAATATATGACTGGTGCACTACTTTAATGCTATCGCAAAAGTGTCATTACATAGTTCAATTCATGTATATGAATTGTACACTGTTGTAATATTGCTGGAGCGTATGGTTTTTAATAATGCGCGATCGAAATATTTTAGAAAATGTCCATTGGCGGTGCACTAGGGTATCTTTCGGTGGCTCATATATTTCAAATATTAAAATTTACCTTCAGAAAAATTAATATGTTTGTTTTGGGCAGTGATGAGAGTTTTAGTGGGCATGAGCTTAATCTTAACCTAACACTGCTGAAGAAAATCCTTACCAGTGAATATGTAGCTGATTTTCAAACAAGCAACTTCCAATTTAACTGATATAAAGAAGAGGATCTTTTTCTTCTTCTAACGGTGCTTGTACGTTCCGGATGTTGGCGATCAACATGGCTATCCTAACTTTGCTTGCTGCTATTCTGAATAGTCCGGTTGTCGATGTATTAAACCACTTTCTCAGGTTTTTAAGCCAAGATATTCTTCTTCTCCCTGGTCCTCTCTTTCCAAATACCTTGCCCTGAAGAATGAGTTGCAACAAGCCGTATCTTTGTTCATTCCTCATAATATGGTCAAAATATTCTAGTTTGCGCACTTTGATGGTGTTAATATTCTCGCATTCCTTGCCTATTCTATGTAGGACCTCAACATTAGTCACACGATCCACCCATGAAATTCTTAAAATAAGTCTGTAACACCACATCTCGAATGGCTCGAGTTTTCTTAAAGAAGCTTCGGAAAGTGTCTAGGCCTCTACTCCGTATAATAACGTAGAAAATACATAGCATCTAATGAGAGAGATTTTGGTAGCAAGTGGTAAATAGTGACTTCTGAAAAGAGACTTCATTATTATGAATGCTCATCCACTCTGTTAATAGGATTTTGGTTAACCAAAAGCTGTGTATTTAATATTTCGCGCTTACTTACTACCATGTACTTTCCGTCCAGACTATCTGCAAAACCGTCCAGACTATCTGCAAAAACTACTGCGTCGTCGGCATATCTAATGTTGTTTAGACGCATTCCGTTGACTAATACGCCTTCTTGTAGTTCTCCTAGCGCTTGCTCGAAGATATATTCAGAGTTTATATTAATTAACACCGGGGACAGAATGCATCCTTGCCTCACTCCTACTATCTATGGAGACTGCCTCTGTCAATTGGTCATTCACTTTAATATTGGCTGTTTGATTGTAATATAAATTATAGATGATTCTCAAGTCCGTATCATCTAACCCCACTTCTTTTAAGATGTTTATAATTTTATCATGCTTTACACAAATGCCTTTTTGTAATCGATAAAACAAATATACACATCACAGTTAACATCCTTGCGTCTTTGCATAAGCACTTGGACATCAAATAGAGCCTCTCGGGTGCCTAAGGAATCGCGGAATCTAAACTGCGTCCATGATACTTGTTCTTCGCATTTTTTATATATTCTGCCGTGTATCACTTTTAAGAACCTTTTAAGTAAGTGGCTCATTAGGCTAATTGTTCTGTAGTCTTCGCATGTCTTGGCATTTACTTTTTTTTGGTATGGTCACGAAGATCGACAACCAGCTTTGGGGTATTTTTCCAGTTACGTAGATGTTGTTGAATACAGTTGTTATCCATTTTATTCCCTGTTCATCCATAAGTTTTAGGAATTCTGCACAAAACTCGTCAGGCCCTACCGCTTTACCGTCTTTAGTTCTTTTAATGGCTGACGTGACTTCTTCAATGGTAATCGGGGGTCCTGTTTGGCATTCAGTGTCTTCAATGGGATTCTGTCTTACATCTGCAAAAGTTACTTCCACATAATTCTTCCAAGTCTTTAGTTTTCCTTCCACAGTTAACAGTGGTTTGCCTTGGTTATCTGCCAAACACCCAACTCTTCTAGGTTTGTACAAGCCTGTGGCTTCTTTAATTTTTTTGTGCATATTAAATGAATCGTGTTTATGTTGCAATTGCTGTAATTCCGCACACTGTTTTTTTAGATGTGTATCCTTAGCTATTCTAATAGCTTTTTTGATCTTTTTATCGATTATTTTGTATAATGACATGTCTTGATCTTTGAACTTTCGCCTCTCTTCCATCATATCTAGAATCTCATTTGGCATCCACGATTTCTTCTTTATTTTTGAAACTTTTGAAACTGTATGTAACTTTTCTAGCTCCTGGTCCATCATATCCGATTGAATAACGGTATTCAAATTGTTCTGTATATACCGCTTTACACTATGTTCTGTGTGTTGGTCTTTTAATAGTTTGATGGCGAATTTTGGATTGACACTACGTCTAACCTTCTTTAGCCTGAGCCTAATTTTGCCAATCAGTGGGTTATGGTCTGATTTGATATCAGCTCCTGGGTATGTCTTGACCATCGAGCAATAAGACAAAAGAGGGAATCTAATCGTTATAAAAAGGAGACCAAAAAAGTGGCCTCTGATGGCGGACACATCCGGAAATGCAAAGGCGCTAAATTTAAATTTTCCAACATTTGTTAACAATAGCTATAAAATATTTTTCAGACTAGAAAGTTTTAATTAAATATTAACGATAATAGTCTAAAAAGTGACATAATTGGTAAAAAACTTCAATATAAATAAAATTTCATGTGACAGTTGGGACAAACAATAACATAACCAAACTAAATTTGACTTCTTAAACAAGGAAAGAGACTGTCTATCCTTGTCTAAAGTGGCCTCTCAAGATGGCACTTCCTGTCTATCAATATGTTTACCCCTTCTACCTTTACATTCCCTCTTTTGTCTTATTGCTCGATGGTCTTGACTGATGTTATACTGTTCCGGAGTCTTTTATTAATTAGAATGTAATCTATTTAATTTCTCACTATGCGGCCTGGAGTATCTTGAGGTGATTTCCATGTATATAATCTTCTGTGTGTGAGTTTGAAGTAAGTGGTAGTAATCACAAACTCTTCTTCTGCTACAAATTTACCCAGTCGGTCTCCTCGCTCATTTCTTTCTCCAAGTCCAAATTGTCCTATGAATTCTTCCGATTGCCCCCTACCAATTTTGGCATTTAGATCACCCATTATCAAAGTTAAATCCTTTCTGGGGAGGCGAAAAGAAGAGGATACTTTTCTATTATTCTTTTTAATTTGTATAGCAACATTTGTTGAGCAACAATAATTTTGTTTCTGTTTTGTAAATTTTGATTATTTTTTTTTCTTTATTATAAGAACTAAAGTTAACCATTTACCTCATCTATTTTTCGTTTTGATAAAATTTTACTTTGTTCTAACATGATGTTATGTCCAGGAATACATTCTACAAGACGTCAGAGACAGACAGCATTTGATAGTAATCCACAAGAAATCGAAGAAAACAGGTTTAGACATCAACCAGTACAATATGTTGAAGCAAGAAGCTGCCAGAATAGAATACACCCTAAAGAAGTTAAGGAACCCCTTAAAATTGAAACTACCTCCCAGACCAGGAAGCCAAACCGCGAGCTCCGGATTAGCAGCCGCCATCGCTGGAGCTGGTGCAACTCCTGGTACCAATGTCACTGTAACTCTAGTAGATAATCCTGTTACCCAGCCTAAAATTGTTGTAGATCCCAAAATTACACCTTTGGTCTCGAAGGAAGCCCAATCCGAGCCTAAATCTGAGTCCAAGGCTGTTAAGGATGTGTCCACGAAGACTTCTGTCCCAGACGAACCTAAAAAATGATGAATAACGTTGCTTAATACTAAGACTCTGTCTTTCTTCGCTCTTAATTCTTTGTTTCTAGTTTATTTATTGATTTATAGATATGTAATTACGAAAAAGAAGACTTCTGGGAAGTAAGAAAATAGTGCATTCGCCGGCACTGGCTTTTTATACTAAACATAAAATTTTAAAATATCAATCTTGAAAAAAAATATTCCTCTACAATTTGTAATTCATGAATAACAGTATTAAAATCTGTACCATACTTTTTAGACTGATTCCTCAGTTCTCTTTCAAGTTTTTGTTTCTTTCATAAATTTCTGATGTAATTCAAACTTTGAATCTATTTTTTTTTTGTTTGTCCTTTTTAGACTGTGTACAATATTAAATTTTAAATATACTATGTCCTCTTAGCATTCTCATATTTGTTGTATGTGGAGATATTTTAATGTTTCAACATTTTTTCTTCCAATTTCTTGATACTGGTACCAGATCTGTTTTATACAAAGTTTGAGATCTCTTTTCCAATTGTTTGTTTAATGGAAAATCTTAAACATCATTTGTAACTAGAAATATTTTAGTTTGGACTTTTAAATCACATCTTAAACCACATTTGTAACTACGAATATTTTAGTTTAAATATTTCAATTTCCAGTTCCCAAAATCAAATTAAACTTTTATTAAATTCTTAAGGTTTTTCCGAGGAACTCACCGCAAAAATGTTTCTATTTGACGGTATTGTCTTCTACATCTCAATCACCAGGTCTAGGTAAAAAGAGCTCAAGCTGATTTGTTCAAATCTTCCAAGGAACCTGTAGGAAATGACTATTAAGGGTGTCAAGATGGACAAGTCCATAATGTATTGGTTGGAGAATGTACTAGTTTACCAAACCTATAAACACTTCTGCAAACTTTTTTAATGGCAAAGAATTGAACAAATTTTACAACCCTGTTGAAGTTGTTGCTAATTTAGCACGGAAGAAACGAGTCTAAAGATCATTCTATATTTATTTTTATTCTCAATAGTAGGTAGACAGCTTCGATAACAGCTCAGTCTGGGGAAATGTCACTTTTAACTTTATTATCAGACGTTGTAATGTTGCTAATAAATAAATATTTAATAGCAACGCCTTCACCAAAATAAAATTTTTAAAGATTTACTGAAATTGCCACGTCAGCTCCTATCCGTAATTGCCGTTACAATTTCCCCAGACTGTACTACAATCGCTGTTGTCTATCTACTGTCAACAAAATACAACTTTAAATATAAAATAGATAAATAAAAACAGTTTTTACATACTGATCCTATATTACACTTGTCTAGTAACGGTTTAGTACAAGAATCCAGCGCCTAGCCATCACATTTACATCTCAGAGGTCATTTTTACTTATTGTTACATTCGTAACGACAGATATAACGAAAGCTCAAATCTTAGATAAGTGTTAACGAACTCCTGGTACATACAACCGTTTACTTATTTGTTGTAGAATTTACTAGCTTCGAGACACATGACCAAATTATAAGGATCTAGTTGTTGTATATACCAGGAAGATAATAATGTTTCTCCTCTTGGAGATTACAATCGTTAGTTAAAGAGAAGTTATATTTATTAACTATGGCTTAATTTCTATTATATGATGCTTATTAGTGATATTGTTTTGTGAAGTGAAACAATTTTGACGATTTTTTTTATGTACAATATAAATATATAGAACGTTTGAACTATTTCAGATTGTGGCTAAGAGTATAAATATAAAATTTGTTTTATATGTGTTATGTAATATGATATATCATCGTGAGATATTCATATTGTTGTCAGATATTCCATTTTTCCTATAATAAACAAACTTTGTTGGATTTAATTGAATCACCCTGTATATTTTACAGTTTTAGGTTATCTAAGTTATTCTGATTGATATTGCTAATTCCTAAACTGGTGAAGACATTTGACTAGCGATCTCGTGTTCAAAAGCAATAACAAAAGTTTCATGTAACAATTTTGGGCTTGGTAATTGCTAGGCTCTCTGTAATTTGTTTTTCCTTAAGCCATTCACGAATATATCTACTGTTAATTCTTCCAAAATGTTATCGGAAGCTTCCGGAAAAGTAAACTGCACAGGAAGAGCTCTTGCACGTTGGTTCTTTGGAGCTTGGCTTTGAATACTTGTAGGTATATGCATATGGATACCCTTTTTTCCAGTAGATTGAATAATATCTGATTATTGATAAAATTCAAATTATCTGAGACCAAGAAGATTTTCCATCAAACGGTGGCAATTTGAACCTGATAAATTGAGTGGTTTTCTCTTTTGTCCTCTTCTGTCACACTCGGACCTGAGCTTTCTAGTTTTATTTCTGAGTCCCTACCTACCTCGGTGATACATTTGTCATTGGAACCCCTTTAGTATATCAATATTTTTAATTGTTTTAATAGAAAATTCTACAGATTTACTAAACATTGTCTAGTTTCTTATCGATATTTATAAAAACTTGTATCAGTTTATTTCATCAGTCTTTCTGAAAGTTCAAATCATTTTATAAATTTCCTTCTATTGAGACTACCTTCGCCTCCGTATTATAAATGTTTATTTGATAATTTTTGCAGTTTCATTAAACTCATCTTCAGTATTTTTGGAAGTTCCTTTGATCATGTTAGAAGTTTTGTTGAATTTCTTTGATCATTTCTTGGGATTGATAAATTTCTTGTCAGTCTCTCTGGGAGTTTTTGAGAAAATTTCGTCTGATTAATCTTTGTATAAGGTGCTTCAACTTCTCGTCGGTTTTATAAATGTTTCTTTAATTTTTTCTGAAGTTTCGATAAATTTCTCTTCATTCTTTCTAAAAGTTAGAAATATCATGTTACAAGTTTTGATAAATTTCTTATTAATCTGACTGGAAGTTTTTCAGAAAATTCCAGAAATTTCGTTGAATATTTTATCAATTTTTTAGAAAGTTCTTTAACTCCTTGTCGGTTTGTATAAAGGTTTCTTTGATCTTTTCTGAAATTTCGATAAATTTCTCATCATTCTTTCTAAAAGTCAGAAAGATCATCTTAGAAGTTTCGTTGAATTTCTAAATTGCTCTTTTTAGAAACATTTTCTAACTTCTGGTTGGTTTTCCTAAAAGTTTCTTTGATCAATTTCTTTGATTTCTTTATCAAATTCGCTAAATTTCCCATCAGCGTTTCTGGGGAAGTTATTTTGATTATATCAGAAGTTTCGTTGAATTTCTTATTGATCTTTTCAGAAAAATTTTCTGAATTCCTGTTGGTTTTCCTAAAAGGTTTCTTTAACTAACGATGAGGATTCGTTAAATGTCGTCCTTCTAGGAGTTACGATCATTTCAGAAATTTCGTTGAATTTCTTATTAATCCTTGATATACTTATCGGTTTTTATAAATGTTTCTTTGATAATTTCTAAAGTTTCTTAAAATTTCTCATCATTATTCTGGAAGTTCCTTTGATCACGTCAAAAATTTCATTGAATTTCTTATGGGTCAGTTTAGAAACTTTTTGTAACTTCTCGTTGGTTTTTATAAAGGTTTTTTATCATTTCTGAAGTTTTCATAACTTTCTCATCGATCTTTCTGAGAATTTCTTCGATCATGATAGAAGTTTCGCGAATATTTTAACGATCTTTTTAGAAACTTGAAACTTTTTATCGTTCTTTTTTTTATTATTATTTTCATGGGTGCTTCGTGCACTAACTGGAATTCGAATGCCTTTCTCAATTTTTGATGAACTTGTGCATCAATCGTTCATGAAGAACCTCTTGGAAGCATTGGTGTCTTCATCATGTTCCTTAATATTTTCGCGCATTGAACAAACACTCAGTCTCTAATATCTTGCACTGGAAACCAAATAACTCACGCACTAAACCATATAGTCTTGAGTACACCTAAAAAGTCCAATGTTTCTACTGCTAACATTTCTGTCAGAATTCAGTTTTAGTTTATAAATTATTTTAACGAATAATTACCACTTCTGAAGAAGACTTTAAATTAAACGAATGGTCGTTTTGTAGATACTGTCACTGGGGGCCTCAGTGGTGGAAGTGCTGAGACTCTGTGGCTGGACCTTGTCCATCTCCTAAACGTTGTTTTATTTTATTTCCATGTCAGAAACTGAGAAATGTTAATTATAGACTATACGCATAGGGCACTTCAAATAGACTGGTCGAAATCCCTCTGTAAGGCACTGTGGGAATGGATAAGTGGCCGTAGTTTTTCAGACCCTTTTTTCTACTTGGTGATATAGCTATACATTTATAACAGTTATTTATTTGTATAGCTGCTTTTTAAAATTAACTTACAGACTGTACAGACATTAACTGACAGATCTGACTAATAGCGAAAAGCGGTTTATACAATCCCCTACAAAACATCGAGATATGGAACGTTCGTGATATCTCTGGGCTTTGAATTCTATTAGTCAGGGAGCTTACTACAAAATCTCCATATCAATAATATTTCACTACGTTCTTTGTCGGCGTATGGCTCATTTTCGGGTAAAGTAAACACGGATAATAATAAAATGCGTGAAATTTTACAATTGATACAAGTATTTCGGAAGTAATGGTAATCATTATGTAATAAATCGGGTGCATGTCAAAATCTAATAGAAATTTGAGTTGGCCACATTTAGATATGGGAAGTTTTACACGAAAATATTCAAGATTGCTCTAGTAATCTAAAAATCGTAAAATAAAAAAATGATCCATTTAAAAAACAAAATTCCTGTATTATTGGACAACGTAGATGTCATATAAAGTTCAGACATATTACACAACCACCATAAAACAAGTTTTATTCATAATTCAATCCTTCTGTACATTTGCACATTGTATATGTCCATATTTGTTGGGAATTAAAAAAAAACGCCCTAACAACGCACAGTATCGTCTGTACCTTTCAATATTTAATTAAGGGGGAATATGATATATATTTTTTGTCGAAAGCAAACCTAAATTTTTTTTAATTTTGTGCTAAACTTATCCACCGACGAAACCAACGTTGGTTTAT